AATAAAATGCAGGTTAAAATTCACAGGCCTATTCAGTTCTCAGGCCTTTTCACAGGCCTATCCAGTTCCTATTCATAGGCCTATCCGTTATAGAAGACTATTTCTTGGAAAGAAATAGCAAAATATGCCCCCAAAAATGGCAGTTCCGTAAGAGAGATATCTCAACCTCTCGTGGGCTTTACCCCAAGTAAATCATTCCAGGTCCAAAAGGATTTTTGGGGGGTTCTCCACTAATTTTTTCCTTCACTTTACCTGAAGACAGTTCTGCTGTGGTGACAGTTAAGCCTTCCCCCTTGCTCTTCAAATTGCTGCCAATCATTTGTAAAGCCCACCCCTCCTACTCATCCTCCAATTAGAATGCTCATTCTGTAGCTCCGCCTCTTTTCTGCTTTTTCTGTGGAGCTTTCTGAGACAGCTCAGGCCTAGTTTGTTTAACTAAGCCAGACTTCGGCCTACTATTTATCTAAGTCAGGCATAGACTAACTTGGGCCCTCCAGGTGTTTTGGACTTCAACTCCCATAATTCCTAACAGCCTCAGTCCCTAAGGGGGGAAAGGAAGGGGGCTGAGGCTGTTAGGAAATGTGGGAGTTGAAGTCCAAAGCAACTGGAGGACCCAAGTTGGCCCATGCCTGATGTAACCTCAGCATCACCAACCTAATGGTTGCTGACTATTTTACAGTACCATCAGCCTTCCGTATCCATGAATTTGTATCCATGGAGGGGCCTGTGAACCAACTGATATCAAGGGCCCATTATACTAGCCATCCCCTGCCACATGCTTCTGTGGCCCACTCTGGTGGTCATGGGGGTTCTGTGTGGGAGGTTTGGCCCAATTCTATCGTTGGTCGGGTTCAGAATGCTCTGTGATTGTAGGTGAACTACAAATCCCAGCAACTACAACTCCCAAATGTCAAGATTCTATTTACCCCAAACTCCACCAGTGTTCACATTTAAGCATATTGAGTATTCGTGTAGAGTTTGGTCCAGATCCATCATTGTTTGAGTCCACAGTGCTCTCTGGATGTAGGTGAACTACAACTCCAAACCCAAGGACATTGCCCACAAAACCCTTCCAGTATTTTCTTTTGGTCATGGGAAAACTGTGTGCCAAATTTGGTTCAATTCCATCGTTGGTGGGGTTCAGAATGCTCTTTGATTGTAGGTGAACTATAAATCCCAGCAACTACAACTCCCAAATGACAAAATTTTTGAGTGAAGGACATACATTGGGTTGTTAGGTGTCTTGTGTCCAAATTTGGTGTCAATTCATCCAGTGGTTTTTGAGTCCTGCTAATCCCACAAACGAACATTACATTTTTATTTATAAAGTCTGACTTGGCCACGGTAGTCCACGCTCTGGTTACATCCCGTTTAGACTACTGCAACGCTCTCTACGTGGGGTTGCCTTTGAAGACAGCTCGGAAGCTCCAACTAGTCCAACGCTCGGCAGCCATGATTTTAACAGGAGCGGAGAGCAGGGAGCATACAACCCCCCTGTTGCGCCAACTCCACTGGCTACCGATCTGCTACCGGGCTGAATTCAAAGTGCTGGCGTTGGCCTTTAAAGCCCTAAACGGTTCCGGCCCAAGATACCTATCCGACCGCATCTCTGCCTATGAACCCACCAGGACTTTGAGATCTTCCGGGGAGGCCCTGCTCTCGATCCCGCTGCTTCACAAGCACGGCTGGCGGGGACGAGAGATAGGGCCTTCTCGGTGGTGGCTCCTCGGCTGTGGAACGCCCTTCCTACGGACATTAGACTAGCACCATCTCTAATGGTATTCCGCAAAAAAGTGAAGACCTGGCTGTTTGAGCAGGCGTTCGAATAATTAGTGCAATGATTGGTTAATGAACACTGGAATGGAACAATGGATGACGAATCTGGAACATGTTTTGATGACGAGACGACAGTGAATGGGTATTGTAGTAACTGTTTATTAATTGTGTAATGTGTTAGGTTGTTAACTGTTTCTATACTGTAGCACTGAATTTTTGCTGTTCGTATTTGTTGTGAACCGCTGTGAGTTGCCTTCGGGCTGAGAACAGCGGTATATAAGTAAGGTAAATAAATATTTGTATCCCGTCCTTCTCACCCCCAGAGGAGGACTCAAAGCGGCTTCACAACAGGCATTCATTCAATGCCAACAACAGTAATCTATATAAATAAAAATGTAATGTTCGTTTGTGGGGTAACACAACTCAAAAACCACTGAACGAATTGACACCAAATTTGGACACAAGACATCTATCAGGTCAACGAGTGACCATCACTCATTTAAAAAAAACCCTGAAAAACACTGCAAAAGGGACTTAAAAAGCCAAAAACATAAAAAATACATTACAACGCATTTACAAAACCACATATATACACAAATATATATACACACAAAACATATATACAGACTGGGCCACAGCAATGTGTGGCAGGGGACAGCTAGTCTATGTTAACATCACTCAAAAACCACTGGACAAATTGCCGCCAAATTTGGCCACAAGACACCTACTAACCCATCACTCAAAATTTTGATGTTGTCATTTGGAAATTGTAGTTGCTGGGATTTATATTTCACCTATAATCAAAGAGCATTCTGAACTCCACCAATGATGGAATCGAACCAAACATGGCATATAGGACTCCCATGTCCAACAGAAAACACCATAAGGGTTTGGTGGGCATTGAACTTGAGTTTGGGAGTTGTAGTTCACCTACATCCAACGAGCACTGTAGACTCAAACAATGATAGATCTGGACCAAACTCGGCACGAATATTCCGTATGCCCAAATACGAACACAGATGGAGTTTGGGGGAAATAGACCTGATATTTGGGAGTTGTGGTTGCTGGTATTTATAGTTCACCTACAATCAAAGAGCATTCTGAATCGCACCAACGATAGAATTGAACCAAACTTTCCACACAGAACCTCCATGACCAACAGAAAATACTGTATTTTCTGATGGTCTTTGGCAACTCTTCTGACACCCCTCATGACCCCCCCCCCCCCCCCCCCCACAGGGATCCCAACCCCCAGGTTGAGAAATGCTACTTTAAGGCCATCCTGTCCAACTCCCTTCACCAGGGTTTTGAGTTTCATTCTAAAGGACCGGGGGGCAATCTAATGTCACTGGGTAGAATTCCACAGGTAAGGGGCCACCAATGAGAAGGCCCTGTCTCTCGTCTCCACCAGTCATGTTTGCGAGGATGATGGGACCAAGAGCAGTGCCTCTTCTGTCGATCTTAGACTTCGCGATGGTTCATAGCAGGAGATACGTTCAGACATTATACATTACACAGTTTTCTAAAAACTGAGTGATTTGTTTTCATTGTAAGAGGTATTCAATGTGCCTCTTACTGGACACTGTCTAATCCAGACATGGGCAAACTTGTACCCTCCAGGTGATTTGGACTTCAACCCCAGCTGTTAGGAATTGTGGGCGTTGAAGTTCAAAACACCAGGAGGGCCCAAGTTTACCCATGCCTGCTAGTCACATAAGGGCTTTAACTTCTATAACAATATATTATTTTTTATTCTTGTGTGTCTTCGGGTTACTTCCAATTTGTGGCCACCCTAAGGCACAAGTGAGACTTGTAAAGAAACAAAATGGAAACCAGAAAAAGACGAGGCCTTTGGTTTTGTTTATTAGGAAACTAGGTTAGTGGTGATGTAAACCACTTCCCATTTTTTAATATGCCGGAATTAGCCCCTTTGATTTACATGTTGGCTCTTTTCTCAACCCAACCCATTGCAAATATGATTATAAATACTTTAATACCATCTTTCAATTCTGTTCCTAGGGTGACTTCTAAAAAGAGATGAGATAAAAGCTACAGAATTATCAAAGCAGCGTGAAACAGATTAAAACTATTTCTCAAAAGCTCTGGAAAAGGAAAAAAGGTCTTTGTCTGGTCACACAAGTCATAAAAACTGGTGATGTTTGTAGCAATTTACCCCATTGTATTATGAATTCTCCTTCTTTGGAAGACTGTAAAATCGTTTTAGGGTTAATGCTTTTACCAGCACAACTCAAAAGTCAGGCATACAAGAACTGAGATTTCCACTTCTCTGTATCAAGGTAAGATGTTACAAAGAGCCAACAAAAGATTCCCCCAATCAGGAAGCAGCCAGGCTTTGAAGCTGCAAGGCTAATCCAGATGGCCAATTGTAACATTCACACATGCCTGCAACAGACAAGAGTTGTTTCTCCCACCCTGGACATTCCACAGATATATAAACCTCACTTGCCTAGCTTCCAACAAACCTCACAACCTCTGAGGATGCCTGCCATAGATGTGGGTGAAATGTCAGGAGGGAATGCTTCTGGAACATGGCTATACAGCCCGGAAAACTCACAGCGACCCAGTGATTCAGGCCATGAAAAATATACGAATTATACTATTGGTGTGGCACTTTGGGTTGCACCTCGTATGTCCTCAGGGCTACATCTACACAGTGGAATTAATGCAGTTAGACACCACTTTAACACCATGTCTCAATGCTGGGATTTGTTGTTTGGTGAGTCACCTGCACTCTTTGGCAGAGAAAGCTAAAGATCTTGTAAAACTACAATGCCATAGCATTGAACCATGGCAATTAAAGTGGTGTCGAACTGCATTCATTCTACAGTGTAGATGCACCCCTAATTATAATCTATATTCGAAGTAGAAAATCATCCATCCATTGAAGAAGTTATTTGATTTGATTACATGTATTATGTTATATAAAAAACCTTTGGTGGTGCTCTTTTGTGAAACAAAAGGAACTTTCCTACAAGATGTCTACAAAACATGACAATGCTATAAACAGGGACATTTTTTCAGCATCCTAAGACTGCAGAACGATAGATAGATCACTTGATGGTGAAAGGAAATAAAACCACAGCTGTTAACTAAGCCTACACCCAGCTTTTTTGAGTCGTTGCAAGTTCCTCTATATCTCAGTTTGTGGTTTTCTTCTTGGTTGTATGATTGGCTAAAGTTTACAAGAGGGTAAGAGGGAGAGACATAAGTGGTAAGGAGAGCCTAAACTGCTCTGAAACTGTCTAAACTTTACAGAAACCCATTCTGGTGGAGAGAAGAGGAAGGCCACGTGTTATGGCACATAGCGCTGTCATATTTATGTTTCATGAATTCTGCAAGGCAAGGAACTAAGAAAGGCAAGCAAAGCAAAGACCCTTTCCTGACTGGTCTGCTTTAAAAGGTACGTGCCTGATATTTGCCTACACTTCATTAAAAGTAGAACAAGTAGGATCTGCAACAAAATGTTACAGTATTGAAATTCAAAACCATTAGCCTTTCAGGATGCAACATTTTATTCCCTTACCCTTCTCAACAGATACTCGAGTTACTTTGGACTATTTTGTGATAGGGAGGGCATTAACCTCTTAGGATTTTTTTTTCATTTTTTTCTCTTATTGGATGCCATTGGGTTCCCTGGAGGATGCTAATGCATTCGTCTTGTTTTTTAGTAGTTACGCTTCTATGTGAAAATATGGTATCTGGGTTCAGGACTAGCACACCGACAAGCTTAGTTCATGCCGTAATTGTGCAGATACTAATCAAAATGGAATTGCTCTGTAAGGTTTGAAATTAATAATAGTGATAATAGGAAATCTTTCTGAATGATAGGGATCCTTCAGTCTGGATCTCCACATTATTTGTTCTACATGCCACAGTATCAAAGAAAGATAAGTTGGACCTCCTTTGAAATAAACATTAGAATTGCTTCATTTATCACTATAGCATTCTTAGAAAAAATTAAAGCATAGCATATTTAATTAAGACAGTGCCATCAAGAAACGACAGAGTGTGATGGGAAGTCAAGTAAGAAACCTCATTCTCAGTTCCCCATATTATGCTCATTTTGCACGCTGTGAGATTTTAATGTATTTTACAACCAGCTGGCAGTTCAACAGTTGACTATTGTACAATAGTTCTGTGAAAAGCAGTTCAAAATGGGTGGGGATCACAATTATATTTAATGACTTTAGTTTTAATCCAATTCTGTTGCAAAAGAAGAAACATGGTTCAGTGCATTTGAGAGACTGGTGCCTTATTCTCAATGTTATGTCACCCACACTTTGCACATAAATTATCTTTGGATGAATCTACGCTGTAGAAGTAATGCAATTTGACAACACATTAACTGCCATAGGTCAATGTTATGGAACACTGAGACTTGTAGTTTTACAAGACCTTTAGCCTTCTCTGCCAAATATTGTTCTACACAGGCTCGTAGCCAGGATTTTGATTGGGGGGAGGGGGGCTGAGTATGATTGGGGGGGGGGGCTGAGTTTGATCGGGGGGGGGGGGGGCCTCAGGATCTACCCTAGCAAACCTTTTGTATCATTGTCCCAATGCCCCCATGCATATGGGATATATTGAGCATGGTGATCAGATCATGATATGAATAAACATAACAGTTTAAATAATGTATCGCAAGGCCACAATGAGAATTTGGGGGGGGGGGGGCTGAAGCCCCTCAAGCCCCCCCCCCTCCAGCTACAGGCCTGGTTCTACAGTTCCCAGGATTCCATAGCATTCAACCATGGCAAGTAAAGTGTTACCATTCTGCATTAATACTTCAATGTAGATTAATCCTTTTTCTGTGTATGTGGCTTCAGGTTGTCTGTTGGATTTATAGCAGTCTCATGAATTCTATATTGGGTTTTCTTAGACAAAGAATATCCAGAAATGGTTTTGCCACTTCCTTCCTCTGAAATACAGCCTACAACACCTGGTGTCTTTACACTTCATTAAAAAATAATTAGAGGATAGTGCCATTTTGTTTTGTCATGTAGAAGAACATAGAAGCTCTTCTAATTAAGTTTTTAAGTTGCCTCCGTTGTTCTATTTCTTCTTTCTTCCTTAGCAAAAATATTTTTTCCTAAATACCATTATCTTGTGTGATTGGCCCTGTTTTTAATTTGTGGCTGCTGCTAATGATTGATAGCATAAATTTAATCCTCTACTACTCAAAACATTTTTCTCCAGGGAAAATGGCTATCCAAGAAATTAGCTTGCTGACTTCAAGGCAGCAGGAGACCATCAAGCGGGAGAGCAGTAACAAAAAACCAATAATACAGCAGAAATAAAAAGGTCTAGAGTAGTGTCTAGTATATGAGTTTCTCATACAGACATTAATTTCCTTTTTATTGACCTCAGATGCAATCCCTTGTGTAGGTAATGGGTCAAAGATGCACAATAATGCCAATAGCTTTGGCTTTTGACTGTCTTAGCTCCTATCAAGACTGCCAAGCAATTATTCTTTGCACCTGTTATTATTACTCATATTCCTTCTCTTTTTCTGAGTTTTCTGTATCTTAAAATGGTTTTTTAAGCAGAAGAAGTAAAATAAATTGACTTTAACCATCTCTACAGGTAATACTTAATTTCATTATTGTTGTCTCTTCGAGTTGACTCTGGGTGCATCTGCATTGTAGAATTAATGCAGTTTGACACCATAAGTCTGCATGTACTTGAAGGTACACAACAACAATATAAGTATTTGTTCAGCAAATTTGTCATATTTTTGATGCCTCAAAATGCACATTTGAAAAAAGCATAATATCCGTTTCTCTTATTTCTAATTTGGGACTGGTCGCATGGCATGAAGTAAAAAAAAGTCTAAGAGCAAAACATATGCCATGTCACAGTTAACAGATAATGAGAAAGACAATGCAAGCTTTCAGGGCTCAAGGGTAATTAAATCAGAAGATTAATGAAGCTTCCTTTGTCTTAACTTCACCAGAATTATTAGAATTATTACTATAAAGAGCGCTAAAAAACTATGGCAAATAATTGGGGGGGGGGAGTTTTATTTTTAAAATTGTTTTCCCTTTAAAATCTTTGTTGTGTTCTAATTCTTTTTACAGAAACCCAGCTTTGCAGTTTGGTGATTTTTTTTTTCTTAGAATTATCTGCTAGAGAATTATGGTGCTATAGTTCAGGAGTACACCCCACCAAGTTACAAATCCCAGGATTCCACATAAGGGAATCATGGCAGTCTAACCATTACATGAAATCATGGCATCAAACTGCTTTAATAGTACACATGTCAAGACACATTCTAGATCTGACAGAGATACTTGTAGGTGTTTTTTTCTGTCTGGTTAAGTGATCTTCAGCCTGTTACAGAGGATGTAATACTCTGTTAGGATCGAATCAAGCGTTTTGAGGCACTCTTGGATCCAGCATTGACCCTGGAGACCTTAATAGTTCAAAGGACCTTACCAGTTCCATTCCAAAGGGGACGGAAATGACCTTCCTGCCATTATTCATGCTCTGGTTGCCTCCTGTTTGGAGTATTTTAATGTGACATGGGATTGCCTTTGAAATAAACTTTAGTCAACTCCAATTAGGGTACCTATTATATTATACTAATTATATGGCACTGCTCTATAATCTGCACTTGAAGCTAGAAGGAAAGGCAGGTGGACATTATAGTGCATTTTCACTATAGAATTAATGAGATTGACACCACTTTACCTGCCTTCAAGCTATTGAATATGAGAGTTGTAGTTTTACAATTTCTCTGACAAACAGTGCTGTTGCCCCACCAATCTACAAATTTCCTGATTCCATAGCACTGAGCCATGGCAGTTAATGTGATGTCAAATTGCATTGATTCTACAGTGTAGATGCACCCTAAGTCCCTTTTCAATAGCAATAAGCTGTCAGTTGCAATGCCTTTCCCAGGGAGCCCTATCTGGTGACTACACTGGTCTTTTCAGTACTGCACTGAAGAAGTTATCATCCACACACATGTAAATAAATGGCAAATTCACAATATTTGTACAGATATTAAAAAAATTCTTTGCTAAATGCATATTCTGATCCTCAGATCTATCTCCAGAAGGAATCTGAACTACCCACATTTTTTAATTGCAACTAATTTTAATTGGTCTGATATATCAATTGATGTTTTCAGTAAGTAGAAACTTGACAAATATGGTCACATAAGCAAGCATCCAAAAATTGAAGGCATCCTTCCATAGAGCAAGAACTGCTAAGCAGCCAAGCTATTTTGTGTGAATGCAAGATAAATTAACTCAAGAGACATAATGTATGGTTTTGCAAAGGAAAAACAAGAAAAATAATACATGGAGGGGAATTAATCTCTTTATAAAATGGTTGTAGATCCTTTGGCATAGTAAAATCAAATTACCAACAGGATAATATTTATCAGGACCAACATGAAAATTACAAAATAACAAGTTCTGCAGGATTGTTCTGCAGCTTAGATGTTAAGTGAATCAAAACTAGCTGGGGTGGGGGGCAATTCAGGGCTTGGTAGAAATATGAAATGGCTTCACATCAGAATGGCGGAAGATGTAATATCAGAGCATATGTGGCCCTTGGGCATAATTGTTCCACTTTAATGGCCATGGCAACATCCTCTGGGATCTTGGGATTTTTAGTTTGGGGGAGCCCTAGAGGTCTCTGGCTGAGAATTATATATGCACCCTTTAAACAGTAAACACATCCATAGGATGTAGCCATAGCAATTCAAGTGGAATTATAGTACTATCATTGAATAGTGTGAAGGAGCACTCAGTGGTGATGATGTAATATTGAGCAAGCAACTTTTCATACTTTGACAAGGAAATTGTGGCACTGCCTTCAAAATTTCTATTTTCATTTCAGGCTATTCTAAATTTGCAATCTTTATCAGTTATCTTTTCACATCTGTGAGATTATGTACACATTCTAAAAGCTAAGTGGACTTTTGCAAACTGCAAAGTGCTTTTGACATGCATCTGCAGTGTTGTATAGCCTCATTTTGAGTTGGGATTTCCCAGGGCATATGAGTGCACGTTTTAGATCTATTTATATGGCATTGATAGCATCCCTTTCCTTGCTTTATGGTGATTTTAGGTTATTTATTTATGTACAAAGCATCAGCTTGAACTCAGTAACCATTTCTCATAGTTATGAGAAAATAATTCCCATATATATGTGCAGAACCAAATAAACTGTTTTAATATTAAGATTACAGATAGGGCAGCAATTCTATTCATAGGGACATATAAGCCAGGAAACAAAACAAAAAACATGCCTCAGTTGCTTTGCCTAATTTTCTTGAATATAAAGATAGAAATGTTAAACTGATCTGCTGTTTAATCTCACATGAAAAACTATCTCACTTTGACCTCACAACCTCTGTGGATGCCTGCCATAGATGCAGGCGAAACATCAGGA